TCTTAAACCTCCCCTGACACAGCATCAGGCCATTCCCTCAGGTCCTGTCACTGGTCACCACAGAGAAGAGATCAGTGCCTGCTCCTCCTCCTCCCCTCACAAGTAAGTTGTAGACTGCAAAGAGGTCTCCCCTCAGTCTCCTCTTCTCCACGATGAACAAGTCAGGTGACCTCATCCACTTCTTATGTGGCTGACTTTTCACCATCTCTATTGCCTTCCTTTGGATGATCTCTGATAGCTTTATGTCCTTTCTTACATTGTGGTGCCCAAAACTGCACACAATATTCAAGGTGAGGCCACGTCAGGGCAGAGCAGAGAGGGACAATCCTCTCCCTCAGCCAGATGATAATGCTGTGCCTGATTCCCCCCAGGACATGATTGACCCTCCTGACTGCCAGGGCGCTGCTGACTCATATTCAGCTTGCCATCAACCAGGACCTTCAGGCTTTTTTCTGCAGTGCTGCTCTCCAGTTACTTGTTCTGCAGTCTGTATGTACATCCAGGGTTGCCTTGTCCCAGATATGAATCCAGCACTGGTTTTTTTGAACTTCCTATAGTTGGTGATTGCCCAGCCCTTTCATTTTTAGAGGTCTCTCTGCAGGGTCCCTCTGCCTTTGAAGTAGTCAACAGCTCCTCCTGATATAGTATCATTAGCAAACTTAGTGTCTCTTCCAGTCCAGATTTACGAAGTCATTTATGAAGATATTGAGAAAAACTGGCCCTTGAGAAAGATGTAGCCCTGTGGAACCCCACTAGTGACAGGTCACCAACCTGATGTTACCCCATTTACTGTAATTCTTTGTGCCCAGCGCATGATCCAGTCACTCACCCATCACATAATGTGTTTATCCAGCTTTATGTTGGACATTTTGCCAGAAGGATCCTGTTAGAGACAGTATCTAAAGCTTTATGGAAATCCAAAAAGATTACATCATCTGGTTCCCCTTGATCAGCTAGGTGAGTTACCTTGTTGAAAAGGGAAATTAAGTTTGACAAGCAGAAATTTCCTCTCACGAAGCCGTGCTGGCTGTAACCAGTGACTGTGTTGTCCTTCAGGTGTTTTTCAATACCCTGGAGAATAATCTTCTGCTTCATTTTACCAGTCACTGAAGTGAGAATGGCAGGCCTGTAGTTTCCAGGGTCACTCTTCTTGAAAACTGGGACAATTTTAGCCAGTTTCCAATCATCTGGAACCTCTCCAGATTCCCAAGACCATTCAAAAATCATTGTGAGAGGCCTCGCAATGGCATCACCTAGCTCTTTGAGTACTCTTGGATGAATCCCATCAGGCCCCATAGACTTACAGGAACCCAGATGAAGCAGCAGATCCTGCACAGGTTTAAGGTCAGCTGAGAGTTTATCACAGCCATGATTCTCCAGCTCAGGGCACGGGACCCCCTTAGCCTGTCATAGAGTCTAGTAAGTTAGAATACTTTTCAATTATTCTAACTTGTGATTGCTTGAAGGTGATGTTTCCCACCCACCCCTGGGAAACTCAGAGAAAGGATCACTGAAGTCACATAACACAAGTGTTCTCTAGTTGGCTGAACAACTTACTCATCACCAGGAATAACACAAGCTTTGCAGGATGTAACATCTTGACAATGATACAAGATCTGAAAAGTACTTACTACTTCTTGTTTATGAGCCTGGTTACTATCATACTTCTGTAGCATTTGCAATTCAGCACTTTGATGTAATTATGATTGATTTTAAAATTAAATAAGGTAAGACCAGGCATTAGCAGATGTGTATACCTATAAGGTAAAAATCTTGTTCTACTAGGAATTCTACAAATAAGTAATTCTACCAAGTGACAAATTCATCTTACTGAATGATTTCAAACAGGGCTATTGTTGAATCTTAGGCACAGTTCAAGATAGTTACAGCAATGTCAGGAGAACTCATATTATTAATATATTAGAGCTAGACAATCATCACCAGGACAAATATTTCAAAAAGGTGACTAGGACAAGATGATGGGATGACAGTGAATCAAGAGTTAGAATTTCCTTGATGTATCTTTATGAATGCCTTTTCATAGCACAGTGTCAGTTGCTTGACTGCTGTGTGATGCAATTTGCCCATCTGATCAACAGCTAATACAAGGTTGGATGTCACATCAGACACCAAATGCTTGCAACATGTAGGGTAAAAGCATTATCCAGAAAACTTGAAAGCAGCTATTAGCAAGCTGCCAGAGGCTATTTTATATAACCAGTTACATGTAGCAAGTGGCTGAGAAGTAGGCAAATGACACATTGCAAAGATTTTCTCAAGAGAATTGGGAGAAGCATCTTCTTGGAAGACAAAGATCATCTTTTGGTGCCAGCAAATATTCTGTGTGACATCAAAGCTCATCAGCTAAACTGGAACAGTGAACAGCACAGACAGTGTGAAAGACATAGAGTCCCGTCTTTGTGAAGAACTGTGATATCCTTTGACATCTGTGAAAACTGGACTAACTTCTCATTCATAATTACACTCTGATGTGCTGTATTATTTGGAAAATCCCCATTTCAGATATTCTGGAGAAGATATTGCATGAAGTATCATTGCAGTGAATTTACTGCAAATTGAATTCTTTTTTAAATAGGGTGATTTTTTTGACAATATCCTTGAGAATATCCTTGAGAATATTCAATACCATTTACTCCCTCACAAAATTAAATAGCTAGATCTTATTCACAGAGATAAGTGCTAGCTTTCTGTTTAAGAAACTGAGGCACAATAAGGATAAAATATTTTCCACAGGCTTGAAATATATTATGTATAAGGAAAGTTGCTGTTCCTTTGGTTAAAAAAAAAGCCAAAAAAATGTTTTTCTGTGGATTTCAATATTCTGTAGTTGAGTGCAGAATGTAAAGATATTTCTATTTCACTGCTCTTCAGTATACAGTCAACAAGATTGTTTCTAAATGCAATGACTGAATTGCAATTGCATTAACAATTGAACTATAATTATCTTAGTATTTGAGCAACTCCCTTTGGAACTAAAAATGAAAAGTTACCATCTTGACTGGCTACCTAGCTTTTTTCTGAAATTATTGCTTAGAAGCTAACCCACTGTTAATCTCAAAAACACTGCATAATTCTAAAATAATAAAAATTGTCAAAAAGTGTAATTCTACCAATATTTGATTTCATTCCAGGATCAGTAAGTATGCAGAAACACATTAGAAATAACCCCTCAGTAGAAACATTTTTCATGTTTCCCCCCTCACTCCCCTTTTTTTTGGTATCAGTTCTTCAAAGGATACAGATTGTGTTTTACACATTAAAGAGAAGCAGTGAAAATAGATTTCTTAACTGGATAAATGCACATGTATCCCTATGTTGCCAAGTTTATCGTGTGCTTAGAGCTGGACACAGATTCAAATGTTATTTAAGCTGAAATAAATATATGGGCAGAGAGAGAACAGGGAGGGAATACTTTATTACCTGGGGAACTGAAAAACCCTGACTTCCAGTAAGTTGTTGCTAAGTTGTATGACAAGAAGATGGAACAAAACTTTATAATCCGTTATAACTTATTTGACTTTAGAAGTTGCTCAGACATATGAATGACGATTTGAATCCATGTTTGAAGCTAGGTTGGTACTAAGTTCCTTGGTACTGTGGATACCAAAAGGTACGGGAGCCAAAGAAGATGAGTAGAATCAAGCAGAATGTGCACTGAAGGCTTTCAGAGCGTAAACACTAGGTGAACACCTAGAGGAAGATAGTTAACGCCCTGGAAATCTTTGTACATAACACAAAATACAGATACTGGATACATAAAATGATGTTACATATGGTGCATAACACATGAAAGGCAGAAAGATGTTACAGGGATGTTACAGGGATGTTTCTTTTGTGGTTTTGTGTTTTTTTCCTCCCTTTGGTAAGAATTGATCTGGAAGACACCTAGAGGAAAGACAGTATGTAGGAAAGGAGAAGGAAGGATATCCAGGAGAAAAAGGGAAGGGAGGAAAGAGCAACTATGAAGTCGAGTGTGGAGTCAACCTGAAAAGATCTAAAAAGGTATGGGGCATAACTAAAGTACACCGACTATCAGTAGCTGGTAGAGAAAAGCCAGTCAAAGCTGATGACACTTTTACTCATTTATTAGCGGCCTTTGCAGCTGCCATAATCATCCTAATTTCTTCTCCCCAGAGACTTTTTTCTAGACAGTTTGCTGGATGTGAATGTGTCACATTTAATCTACCATCTCCTGAGGGAATCTTTCCAGTGGTTTCCTGTGACCACAAAGTGAGGGATTACCATGATTAGTTGCCATTTCATATCTCATCTCATACTACCCTGTTCTGTTTCTTATAATATGTGGAAGATGGGCTATTAGAAGCACATAATGTTTGCAAATTTTGCCATGTCTTTCCTCATACATTATTCAGCAAAAATATTCTGATTGTATAAACATGTTTATTTTGGAACTTATTCACTGAACTCTTATATACAAACATATCAAGCTATGGGTTATTCATGAACTATTTATTTTGATTTTGTTTTGAAGCCCTGTGTCTTTGTAGCACAACTGCAGTGGATGCTACTGTATTTTTATTGCTTACTCTTCTGTTCATAGCAGGTTAAAGATGATTTCATTCTCGCCATATGGAGAATTGTGAACTAGGTACATAACAATTGCAAAGCTATATTTTTTTGACAAGAGAAATAAAAGAACCTATTTAGATATTTTTAAAAATGGAAAAGGTTCTCAAAAGTGTTAAATTGAATTCATAGCTTTTATTCAAATGAATGCATATAGGCATTTTTTCTCAGAACTTACTCATGTTCACTAATTTGAAGCCAAATAAGTGTTTGTGGTACTCTAGTTCTGAACAGATCTGAATGTGAGACAAACTGTGAGAATTTTGCTGTCTCCCACTAATCTGCTTTGTTTTTGGTTTTGTTTCTGTTTTTTTAATCAGGGGAAAGACTTTGCTTTCTGTTAAAATAGATGAGTTGCTAGTTATAAATATTTTTTGTCTAAAATTAAGGAGTGAATTTAACATCCATGACATCTACCTCAAAATTACTTGGCTGATATATTTTGCACAGAACAAGCTGAACAGAGACTGAACAAAGGTAGTCTTGTAAAGCAAAATAGGGGAACAGGCTTTTTAACTCATTGCAATTCAAAATGAAACATGCCAAAAAGGTAAATCGATTTGGAAAATGGACGAAATAGGAGCATAGGTTTGCTTTTTGAAACCTTCTATGTTGCTGAGAATCATTAAAAAGTGGTTTAATAATGAAAGACATAACAAGTGTATTGGCTGAAACTTAAAGACAATTTAAAGATAGACACAAATATCCCATGGGAAAGATGATAAAGCATTTTAACGAACTATCAAGAGAAGTGATGAATTTGATATCTTTTCTAAATCAGATCTGGAAATTACCTTTTAGCTACATTCAAGTTGTTGGCTTCAGTACAGATGGATGTTTGTCTGCACTGCCAGAAGAGTTGGGGTATGTGATTTAATGGTACTTTCTATCTTCAAAATCAATTCTGCTGTTGTAGGTTTTCCAACAGGATGAACAGAGGGGTAGGGGAATAACGGTGATGTACCTGTGCATCCATGACAGCTACAGTATCTTTTATTACTTATTTGGAAGACAAAAGATTGTTCTACAACCACTTCTCTCTTCTTTCTGCTCTAGGAAGTCTCTGTTTCTTGAGCCATGGGAGAATTTGCATGTATCTGGAGCTTATTTTACTTACAGATTAGGTAATAGAGAGCAGGCTACACTAGCAAGCCTTTATATGATAGGCAGCCTCTGGATCTCTGAGAATATTTTTAATGACATACTGCCTGCATGATGTATCTTCATCTTTTCCCTTAATGCTGCACTTTCACATGTGAAGCAATGGCAGGTTTGCATAAATAAAACAAGTATGTATGTAATAGGTTTGCCTTATTTAGAATATTTGAAAGCTAGCTGGCATATAATTTTATTTTATTTGACTAAACCTATGCATTTTCTGCAATGCAATTCCAATTTGCAGCAAATATATCAAATGACAGGCAGACTTTTTGAAATAGTTTAAGACAAACAATTTTTTCACCAGACAGATGAATGATAGCAGTGTGAGAAATTGAGATTTATTTAAGAAACATGAACTCTCAAAAATCTCTTTGCGACATCCTGCTTCCATTTTGCTGTGCTATGAATGTGACAGTAAATATTAGCACAGGGTAATGTAAGAATGCAACTCAAAAAATCAATATATGAAAACTATGACAGTTGCATAGCAACTTTACTACTTAAAATGGATATTTCAGTTATGCAGACTGGCTAAACGTGCTTGAAGCAGCTGTTGAGTTCACTGGTCAGTGCCCTGAAAATCCAGCTGTGTGCTAAGCATCACCGCCGACCTTTGCACAATCATCTTTAAGTGAAGGAGTTTTAAATAGAGAAGTTATGCCAAGTCTCTGTGCAAATTTAATTTAAAGTAATTAAATTAAAATTTATATTTTAGTATTACAAATTAAATACTCCACTGGTTTTATTATGTTTTTTATTCTCCTGAATTGTTATGTTATCCAACTGTACATTTATTACTCTAATAAAGCATACTTCTGAAAGTTGAATAAGCATGTAACTTGTTAATGGATTACACATATAATTATTTGTATTTATTTAAAAAAAATTGTTTGTCTCTTTACTGAATATTTGTCTCCAGAGAAAATTTGTAAAGTATTAACCATGAATTTTTTAAACAATTTTACTAATCCACTGCTTTTATTCACAAGTGGCAGTTATATCTCTATGTTAAGATAGATATGAAGTGCAAAAATTAGACTAAGGTGAAAGAAAAAGGTGAAGGGCAGATGTTATAAAATCAGTTAATCTTATCGGCTGCTTTTAAATATCTTTGAATATCAGATATCTTATGACAAATGTGTCATTAAAAATAAAATGTAATGATTCTAATTCTAAGAAAAATTAGGTTCTAACTGTGAAATGTGGTTCTTATGCTTAGTTTTCACATTTGTTTTTGGTCTAGTGTAATGCACATTTAGATTATGCTGGATAAGATACAGAAAGAGACCTTGAAAGAGTGATCAGAATGCAGGATCATTTTCACTGGTACCTCTTGGAAACTCTGGGGTTTTTACCTGCTAGTCAGTTCAACACTGAAAATTTCTTAAAAGGAAATTTTTGCAGTTGAAAAAATCTAGCCCAAAGAAAATGTAGGGCACTGATAATCAAGCAGCAAGATTCAATTGACCTAAACAGAAAACAATGTGGTGACAACTCCAAGTACAGTAGGGTATATAAATGATAAGGAGTATCAAGAAAAAAATTACACCTTTGCTTGCTCCTAACCTATACACCTTCCCATTTTGACTGATGTTTCTTTATGATGTCATAGCTTTACAGCAAATCCATACTCAACCTATCTTTAAAACAGCAAAAGTCAATTAACTGCTTTTGGAGCATGATAGGATGACATAAATCACTGACTTAATGCTTTCATAGAATGTCTTTTAAAGTCTACTTTATAAAAATATAAATCAGTTTTGGACCATCAATAAGGCAATCAAAGGCATACACTCAGACAGCGGTCATGCTTCTGGGGTAGTTGAAGGCACTATCTCACTATTCAAGCAAAATATTCCTAACTACATTTCATTTTTATGCTTCAGTCTTGAGTTCAAAAGCTAAAGCAACAATGAATTAACCTAACCTGCTCTGCTATGTGCATCTAGCATGCAGTCCAAAGGATAACTTTGTCCAAGATTTGCTTTTCCCTTCCAGGCTCTCCAAGGAATTTGTGGGCAATGTTCACTCATTAATATGAGTATTAGGAAAACAAAAATTAATTCAGTAATGTAGTAAAAAAATGATGTTTGTATTATGGTAGCCACATCATTATATTTGAGGAAATGATGGCTATTCTTGTAGTAAAAAGAACGATATATAATAAACTTTGCAATGACAATATACCAAGTTCTCTGTAACACAGAGAAAGAATAGGCTGTAATATATGATGTCAATATATGAAGAATGCCATGTTGGAATATTAAAATGAAAATCTATGGCTTATTTTGAGACGTATTTATTTACAGATAAAAACACGTTAAAATATTCCTTCATAACAACAAGAAAGAGAGAAATTAACTTTTAAAAGGAAACTTCCTTTTAGGCCCAAGCCCGTATTGCAGTTTTGGAAGGTCTGATTTAGTTGCACCTTGATGGGTTTCAGGTAATTGTCTCACCCTCTTGCCTCTTGAACATGTATTTCATTTCACTTTCCTGCTAATAGCATTTTCTTTGTTGCTTCACAAATATCTGTAACATGATATGCAGCAGCAACAATTTGAAACTCTTTTTCATGTCCACCTGCTTTCCATCTACTAAACATACCACTGTGAATCAGCCAGTTCATATCCCTTACCACCACTGCCTCTTTTCCATCCTACAAGATGAAAAACCACAGGACAAACGTTCGTCCTCTAAATAAGATCAGCATTTGCTGATGTGTTGCTCCTTATAGGGCTGTAAATGTGTACCTATTTCTTTTGTTTGTTTTACCAGCAGAAAAGATGCCTGAAAGGACTTGAATAAGGGTGCATACACATCTGTTCCCTATTACACTTTGATTAGTGTAATGCTTCTATGCTTTCCTCTATTTTATTTAGGATAATAACTTTGTGAGACTATATAAGCTTGGATACCTGAAAAGTGGCAGGTAAATCCCAAGTTTCCTTACACAGTGAACTTTTTAGCTATTAGGTAGTTTTTTGGCCCAGATGACTTCTAGTGGATGATCATAATTCTAGAGCATGAAAACCACCGTCCCACTCTCAAAATTTACCTTGTTTTAATTGTTCTCTGGAAATTTGGGCAAGCATGGCACATGGCTGCAGCATGTGCCTTTCTGAATTCAGCAAATTAGCCACTGGGTTGTAGTGCTGATGTGACCATGAATGTGTTGGATGACTCATCATTGTAAACCCTGATACAATATTTCTTCCTGCTTCAGTGAATGCTTCAAATGATTTGGTGACTTTCATGGAGTGTTTGAAGCACTTGCTTCACCTTGGTTGCCTAATTATCACTGCTCCTTGGCAGCCTGGAGGCTTTGCTGAAGTTTCAGAGATGACATCAGTCATGGGTCCTTTTTCTTAACAGAAAAAGGGAGCTTCACCATTCTATTTTTTTGAGTTTCTCCTAACAAAATGACAGAGCAAAATAGGAAAAACCAGCATGGAGTTCAAGGCAGGTTATGCTGTTATTTTTCATGCAGCAGAAATTGGTGAGAATGAAATATAGGCAAGGCCATGTAGTTACTTGGTGAGTTGGGTCCAAATGAGTTCAGAAATAATGAACTTTATGCAGAAATTACTTTATTAAATAACATGGCATTTCTTATGCTATAAGTCAGAATTGATCACTGTGATGATTCCTCCAGACCTCAAAATGTATTAGTTCAATTTAAATTAATTAGAGATACCTATCCAGATTTGCAAGACGTCAACTTATTGCCTCCTTAATGAAGAAATTCTATGGTATTTAATGAGAGTGAATCTGTACAGCGTTGTGCATATTTAATATGATTATGCACATTTAATAATTACTCTAGAAGAAACTGAGATAATGGAAAATCACGACTGTTTCTGAATTCAATACTGTTCTTTGCTATAAAGTTTTCTGCTGAGTTTTATTGGATTGCTTTAAAAAGCTACAAAAAAGCTACAACTTTCTTACTAATACCACAGATATTGTATAATCATAAGTGATGTTTAATTTTTTCCTAAATTCATACTATGTACTGTGTGTAGAGCTGTAATTTTGCTATGTGGTGTGTATGTCACGTATATTAGAGCAGTGATATGCAGGCCTGAAGTCTTCTTACAGGTGTGTAACTGAAGAAAGAGGTTTGACAGCAGCTCCAGATAGGAGAATGAAGAACAAATACATGTGTGTATTCTTCAAAAGGACTAACTGAAATCTGCTTGAATCAGTTTGGAAATCTGTGCAGACACTGATTTTCTCAGGTACATGGCACGTAGGCTATGCTATCTGATGATAAAGTTCAGTACTTGTAGGTGTGTAGTGCTTAGGAAGAGCATGCCTGCTGATTAAAATGCTCAATAGATGCTTGATAGAAAACTAGTAATAAGTAAAAATGCATGAAGCAATGTCCAAAGAACTAAATAAAAGTACACAGGAGGCAGATATGCTTTAGTTCCTTAAGAGTTTGGTATGACAGCTGAATTTCAATCCTTCAGGAGTTTGACAGTTTGACTGTCCTATAGCATTGTGATCATCACTACACACTGTTCTGCTAACTGCCTAACAAAGAAATCTGATTGCTGTGCCAGGTCATTAATTTTGTGAACCTGGACCCCTGATGGTGGGAGAAGCAGACTTTGGAGTGGTCTAATGTGTCTGTAAAACAATTAAGCACTTCTGTAAAACTGAAATAAGTTGGTCCAGTTTCTGGAATACCAGTAATTTGCTGTGAAAATCGTAATAAATTTACCTGGGTCATAGATAATAAAACAACATTTTCAACAATTATTTAGACCTTCAATATTTGGTTCTGTTAAATATATATGAGTAGTTTACTGAGTAAGTCAATGCCAAAAGATACAGCAATGCTTTAGGACTTTCGAAGCCATTAATATTGATCAGAAGCATCTCTTCAATGGTTCTATGATTTGACCCTTACCAAGAATAATGATGTTTTCTGCTTGAGTACACCACAAAATTAGTCTTTTTTTTTTTTTTTTTTCTTGTGCTTTTGGAAGAAGCCATAAAGATAGATAAAAACTGAACTTGGAGTTGGGGTTCAATATGTGCACAGGCTGATTTTGATGTCTATACCTTGAGCATCTCAGTATTTATTTCATTGATTTTATTGTGTTTGTCCTAATCAGAATGAAACAGTAGTATCAAAAAAACTGTTACACTGAAGGAAAGGGATATTTTTTTAATATGTGCTATATTTCTGAGGAAACTGTATAATCACTTGCTTGCTGATAATTCAAATTAATTATGAACAATCTTTTTAAGTAGAGAGGGTTTTTTTTC